GATTGTTTGTGTAGGCTAAGACTTGAGTGATTGTTATTGTTTGTGATGAGTGTGGCTAGATTTTTAGAGTAGAACAAAATCATATGCATCTTAGAATTGTTAACTTGGACATTGAACTTATTTCTTCCTTTGATATTTTAGGCTATGAACTCTCATTTTCAAATCTCATTCTCTTGTTTGTTCTTGTTTGCTTGAGGACAAGCAAAATAAAAGTTTGGAGGTGTTGATATCTTGGATAATTACATCATTTTAAGCCTCATTTAGTATAGTTTTTCATACCGTTTCATCCATTTTATAGTCCAAAGTGTCTCATTTGCATTCATAATAGACTTAGAGTGCATTAGGATTAGGAATGCATATTTTGTTGCATTTGGAGTGTATTTCAAGTCTTTATGAGGCTAAGGAGGACATGTGGAGAGTTGATGATCAAGTTAAAGCAAGGAGGAGCACTCAAAGGAGATGAAGAAGTTTCCCCAGTTTGTCTCGAAGTGGAATGTCGAGCACCAGTTCGACATCAGGGCGTATCGACATATGTATCAGGCATTACCCCGATATAGAAGTAGAGGCGAAAACCGTCTGTTTAGAGCGTCTCCCGTATCGGCCACTTGTGTTGGGCAAGAAGTCGATATCAGAAGGGAAGAAAGTGTATCGACCTACCTGTATCGGGCATGCAAGCCGATATCAGTCTCCTTCCCAAGCCTGTTTGACTTTAGGATTCAACTTTGGCCGATTCATCAAGCTCTGACACTTGACTATTTAAGCCAAAAACTTTATCTGAACCTTATTTTATGCCTTTTTATTCTTTATCTTATCTTTAGCAACAAAAACCTTATCTCTAATCTCTCTCTCTCGTTCTTGAGCAATTTTACAGTTTTTGTTATTTTGTAAACAATAATTGAGTTTCTAATATAAGTTTGCATTTCTTGTTATTGTTCTTCTTTCTATTGCTTTTGATCATGTTTTTTCTCACCATTTATCTAGATTTTGAAGGATCAATCATGGTTTGTGAGTAGTTAATTTCTGGATAAGGATGGGTTAGATTTAGGATAATCCAAGGCTTATAACTTGATGTTTATGTGTAGATGGTGTTAGATCCTTCACTATTTGGTATTCTTAATGCTTGAATTTTACTGATCATCTGATTTTTAAAATCAGGGTTTCCCTGCATCGAAAGTGTTTGTTGAAATGCCTGAATCATCCTCTTAGTGGATTTGCTTATCCTTACACATGAGAATGGATGACTAGGGAGCTTATTTGCTAGATAGGATTGTTTCTTTATGCTTGATTGTTTCCTTATCACTAATGAGAATTATATCTTGGTTATGTTGCTTTCAAAGGAATCATTGTCATGAGAGTGGTTGATTTACATGTTTAGAGTTCTATGCTAAAGAATCATGCGTTCATTGATTGTTTGAACATCTTGTTAGAAGTTGAAGATCATTTTAGGTTGATTATCCCATCCTAGACCCTATTGTTAATCAATTGATCATCTCTGTTTCACTCGGTTATTTACTTTGTTCTTGATTAGTTCAATAGTTGCGATCACTTGCTTTGAATCATTGCTCCTTGTCCTGTTTCATTTTGGTAACCACATATGGTGTTAGAATAATAAACAACTCTTTCTTTACTTGGCTTAGCTTATAGATAATCATGCATTCTCTTTGATTAATCTTTACTTGGCTTAGCTTATAGATAATGACATGATTTTAGACTTGAGGAATTGAGTCACAAGTGGGTAAAACTCTTGTATCAGCGAACCGTGAAAAGAGAGGTAGAAGCTCTCTCTGCACGAAAATATAATAAAAAATATAAGGTGAGGAGAATGCTTATCTTGGAAGGCATTTTCTTTGCGGAATGATGAACGTTCCCTTTCAGTCTCGCTGTAGCGCGGGGCTTGGGGCGAGTTCCGACGAGGCGGATGTCAGAGGTTTTCCCCTGCTCCTCATTTTGGTGTCTCTCATTCTCTCTCTTTGTATCTCAGAATATTGAACCTCTTTTCGGGGATCCCAAGTCTCTTTTTCTCCATTCTCTTCTCCTTTGACCTTAGACTTTCTTTTATACCCCTTCTTTTACATCATGTCTCATCCATACGGTGCACCGTGAAAGCGGGCAGCCCAATACAACACACCTGACTCAGTAAACATGCCACATGTCTAGGAATAGTCCGTTGGAAAATTAATGGCATGCCTAATGTGAGAAGATTAGCGCTTTAACAGAATCCAATAATTATGTGTTACCTCTTAATTAATCGTGGTAAAAGTAAATCTAACATATATATTTTATAATATTAATTAAAATATATTAAAATTAGTTAAATTGTGTGTGTAAACCTTAATCAAATTAAAAAGTATATTGATTTATATTTTTTTTTTGCAATTCAAAACCTATAGAAAAACGGGAACAAACCAAATTGTTTTGCACCCTTTAATATTAGTGAACAAAAACCTTTCTTTCGCCATGTTGTTTTGCATAACTCTATTTCAGTTTTTGTTTTTTAGTCAGAATTTTTTTTTATTAAATAACTAAAAAAATGTTTACGTAATGATGAAAATGTGCGACAAGAGAGATGTAAGAAGAGGAAGAGGAGTTTTCAAAGTTGGGTGTCTCACCAACCCCAGGTTGTTCGAGCGGGCAAGTCATGTAATTTCTGGAAAATTCAAGGGTAGTATCATAAAAAGTGGTATAAAAAAAAAAAAGGTGAGAAAAACGCAGCTTTAAGGCTAGTGGAAACATTGGAAGCATCGAATCTCTCTACACACACACTTCAGAAATACAAATCCTAAACTCTGCAACACCCTCCTCAAGACGACGAACATGGCGAAAAGCAGTTCGGCTTCTGTTGATATGGAAGACATACAGACCGTAGATCTCATGTCCGAGCTCCTCCGCCGCATGAAATGTGCCTCTAAACCTGACAAACGTCTCGTTTTCATTGGTAATAATTTTCCTCCTCGCTTTTGATTATTCTTTTTCTTCAATCTCTCTGAATTTGGAGAATTTTGGTACTCAAACGGAAATTGAGTTAGATCTTCGAAGATTCTTTTTTTATGAAACTGTGTAGGGACGATTCCGATTTTGTATAGTAGTCTGTGAAAATTGCAATGCCACTATCATTAATTAATGCTTATTTAAATGTTCATATGAAGAAATTGTTGATTTGCATGCACAATCTTGATTAAATTAAGGAATAAATTGATGAAAACAAATGGTCCAAAAGGAATATGAACTACTTGTTTAATCAATAGAAAGGAACACAATTTGAGCTCTAAACTCATCTTTGTTGTTTAAGGCTTTGGTCTCGTGTACTAATTTGAGAGGGATATCATTAATTAATGCTTATCTAAATGATCATATGAAGAGATTTGTTGACTTGCATGCAACATTTCTTGTTTAACTCTAACGAAGATATTGAGTGAGTGGTTGGAAAAAAGATGGTTAAAAGGAATGTGAACTACCTTTTTCATTGTCTGTATCTTCATTGTCTCATCTTTGTTGTTTAAGGCTTTGGTCTCGTTAATTGCTTTGAGAGGGATATGAAGAGATTGTTGATTTGCATGCACATTCTTGTTTAAATTAATGAAGAAATTGAGAGAGTGACTCGAAATTGATGAAAATTTGGTCTAGAAGGAATGTGAACTACTACTTTCATGTCTGTATCTTCACTGTTGTTTATTTCAATTGAAAGGAACATGAGCTCTAGGATTATATTTGTTGTTTAAGGTTTTGGTCTGTGAAACTAATTTGAGAGAGATATGATTCGATTTTTCAGGTCCACCCGGTTCAGGAAAAGGTACGCAGTCTCCGGTTATAAAGGATGAGTTTTGCTTGTGCCATTTGTCTACCGGAGACATGCTTAGAGCAGCTGTTGCTGCTAAGTCTCCACTTGGTGTTAAGGCAAAGGAGGCAATGGACAAGGTAAGCAAAAAAAAAAAAAAAATACACTTTTGAGTTTTAGGTGTTAGTTTTGATTGAATCATATCTGTTTTTTTTTTTCTTTCTCAGGGAGAGCTTGTTTCTGATGATTTGGTTGTTGGTATCATGGATGAAGCAATGAACAGACCCAAATGTCAGAAAGGTTTCATTCTTGATGGGTTCCCTAGGACCGTGACACAAGCAGAGAAGGTATCTTGATTCTTGTATGTTCTTGGTTTTTGCGTTTCTGTTCTTGTAAATATTCTGACCTTCTTTACATAATCATGTAGCTTGATGAGATGCTTAACAGAAGAGGAGCTCAGATAGACAAAGTGCTTAATTTCGCAATCGATGATTCTGTTCTTGAAGAGAGAATCACTGGAAGATGGATCCATCCTTCAAGTGGAAGGAGCTATCATACTAAATTCGCACCTCCTAAAGTTCCCGGAGTTGATGATGTAAAAGGAAACATCTCATTCTCTTTGATGAAACCCTTACAATGTTGACTAATCTCTATGTACTGACTTTATTGTTGGTTAGGTCACTGGAGAGCCATTAATTCAACGTAAAGACGACAATGCGGATGTTCTTAGGTCAAGGCTTGATGCATTCCACAAGCAGACACAGCCGGTATTGTTTCCTTGAACTTGAGAAGTTAAGTATTGCAGATTTAAATGGTTTCAATTGATTTGATTGTTGTTGTTGTTGAAGGTAATTGATTACTACGCGAAGAAGGGAAGTTTGGTGAACATTCCAGCAGAAAAAGCTCCTGAAGAGGTTACAAAAGTGGTGAAGAAAGTTGTATCTACATGATGAAAACTGCAGTAGAGAATTGGAGTTTGAGATCTCTCTTTCTTTTACCTTCTTAATAAACTCCCGAGGATTTTTGTTCCCCGTCTTGAGAGAGCAACATTTTGCTGCAGTGTTTTCACTAAGGTTTATTGTTTGTTACTGACAATCTCAGATGAATAAAAGAAAAACAAAAGATCAAATCCTTTTATTACTAGAAACACCAATTTCAAACTAAGGATGAAAGATTTTGTTCAGTTGAAACTTAACTAGCAATAAAAGATTAAAGAAGCTTCTCCTCAAACGTCGACAGTGAGCTTAGCGTCAAGGTGAGTGAACTCATGGAAGAAAGCTTTGAAATGTTCGTATGAATGCTTCACATCATCAGCAGCACACATCTCACGTATGCTATGCATTGAGAGTTGAGGAGCTCCAACATCAACGGTCCTTATCCCTACACTGCTCGCTAGGATTGGACCAATCGTCGATCCACAACCCATATCATTACGTACCACGAAATCCTGAATATGCAATTTTTTCATGTCAATACTCATTTTATAATATCTAAGTTAAGTAAGAACAAGTTCTGGATCTCTCTTTCTCAGGTGAATCATTACCTGAACAGGGAGATTGTGTTTCTCTGCTATCTCTCTGAATACAAAGGAAGTTACAGCATTAGTTGCGTAACGTTGATTTGCATTGTGTTTGATGACAAGACCTCCGTGCATCTTTGGCTGATGATTCTCTTCGTGTTTGTCCTACAAAGTTATGGAATCACAATGCAATTAGGGAGACGCATATCAACTTACTTATGCACATGAGAAGGACAATGATTTACCATGAAGTTTGGATGTAAAGCATGCGCCATATCAGCAGATACAAGCAAACTCTTTTGAATCGCTTTCTTGAGCACCTGTAACAGACAATAATGAATGGTGAACTATAATGAGCAACAAGAAACAAAATTATAAAGTTTAAATGTATAATACTTGAATGGTTTGCTACCTTAGAGTCCGAGCTGAAGCAACTTGTAATGTGTGACATAGCATCAATCATGACAGGGGATCCAGCTCCTTGCGCTGAATTGGAACCAACTTCTTCATGATCGAATAATGCCACCATTCTCACTCCGCTTTCTTCCTCTAGGTCACTTGCAGAAGATGTTGCATCTATAAGTGCCTATGTACAAAGTTTAAACATTTATTGCAAACATGAAACATATAATTACGAAATTAGACAAAAAGAAGAAATATGCGTTTCAGACAGATGAATCGAACACCCAGAAGAGGTTTACTGACAAGTGTTCAAGAATCTTACAGTAGCAAAATGGATAAAGATACATATTAGGTCCCATTCAAAGAGAAGAACTAACTGTTAGACATGCTCCACGTAGATGTGATCCAGAACAAAACTTATACACAATGTGAGTTAAATACTAGCAGTGACGCATCTACAAGGTGGGCAATACATTGTACTCGAAACACGAGCATTTAAAATGTGTAAGTACATGCCGAGATCAGCCTAAGGCACAATTAGGCTCGGAAAATCAAGATGATAGACTCATATTCTCCAATCAAAGCACACTTATGTAAAAGACGTACCTTTAGAGAACAAAATGACATGCAGAGATTATCAAGCCTTCCGGAGAAGATAAATTCTTTGGCTGCACCACCTAGAATGCTTGGCTGAGTGTCACATGCTTGCAGCTCAAAATCGCTTATCTCCTCAGGTTTACAACTCAGAGCGTTTGCAATGATCTAAGAAATTAAAAAAAGGACTACTTAATTACCAAAACCAGAACAAGATCTAAAATTCAAGATGAAAACCATATAGTTGATATTTCAACTGGACCTCCATTAGCAGTGGGTGATGCTTTGACTTTGAACTAGTTTCAGTACACTTCTTTCCTCCATCAGTTTCACCACCTTCTGCTGGCACTTTATTGAGCTCAGCCTTCAAATATATATATATATATATCACACCAGTGTAAATAAAATGCAAAGTAAGCATGAACTCATACCGCTGAAAACTTTATAAATTATAACAATGGCATTGAGTTCATAGATACAGAAAACTACCAAAAAGTTAAGAGGGTTCACAAAGATGGATTTCGAGCTCAGCAAGTGGCTGATATGCAAACAAAGGCTTAAGCAATGATGAATGAACAAGATTAACAGCGGAATTAAGAAATAAATGAATGTATCTTCCATGTCCTGAAACAATTGTCTCATTTAAGTAATGTTGATTGTTCTGAACAGCATAACAAGCATTGGAAGAGCACCTTGATAGCTGTTGCCAGTAACGGAACGAGGTGTGTCTGAGTGTTTGGCTTAAAACCTTCACTGTTCACATTCCTGTTCAAAATGAAACATACACAAAGTCTTATATTACATAGTCTGCTTATTGCAAACACAAAACAGTAATTTCAAGGTAAACCTGTCCAAGTGGATGGCCAAGGTAGGGATCCTCATTATAGGTTCCTCAATCCTAACTAGCCGATGCGAATACGAGACCGAACCTGCCTTCTCTTCTTTTAGAATCACACGTCCCGCAACGGTCAAGTCACGGTCGAACCACGTGTACCATAACCCACCTCCGTATGTTTGAACACCAACTTCCAAGCATCCACCTTTAGTTATCTGTCAACACCATCCATTAACCAAACTTAATACACAAACGAATAAAAACACCATCTTAAGTCCAAGATTAAGTGAAAGTGTCACCTTTGAAACAGGCTTCAACTTCAGGCAAGGGCTATCAGTATGAGCACCTATTATATGGAATCCGTTTCCAGCTACGTATCTGTTCACAAACCCCAAAGATAAACCTTAAAACTGCAGCAAAATCGATCTCAAGAGAAATAACATCTAAGCCACTAAATCGAATCACTAGTTCAATTACAATGGAAAGTTAGAGGCAGGCACACACACGCATATACTATAGTGACGAGAAGAATCTGGAAAAGCATTGACGATGGAGGAAAATCGTACTTTTTACCAATAGCGAAAGCAACAATGGTGGAGTAATTTCTTGTGAAGAAATATTTTTTGCCGGCTTCGAGTTTCCAATCATCTCTCTCCGAAATTTGTTCATACCCAGCGTTTCGCAGCCGCCTCTTTGATTCATCTACGAAAGTTATAGAAGATTTAGAACTAAAAGAATGATGTTGAAGAATCAAATGACGAGAAATTCAAAAACTACAATTCGATTCAGAGACCAAGGATTGTATTTTTTTTGAAGCGAAACTAAAAATATCTGAAGGACAATTGAAATCGGTGATTGTTTCGGAGATTACCGACGGCGTGGAAAGCGGTGGGAGAAGAATTGAGAAAGGAGAGGAAATCGGAGACGAGGGAGCTCGTATCGATCGCCATGGTTGAACTTGTTGGATCTTCTGCCACTCACTGCTATTGGAATTTTGTTTTCGTTAATCTAGAGGAGGCCTCTCTGCTCGAACAATGGCTGAAATGCCATTATTTCTCAAAATTCAATCTCATATGCCATCGTTATGTTTTTAATTTTTTTTTAATATTTTTTTTAAATCAAAATGCATGAAATACCTTTAAAACCCTTAACAAATTAGAGAAATTACATGTCCAACCTAAAATTATCCACCCAAATCCACTAACCCGATTAAATGCAATGGATCATAAATTTTTACTTTTTCTCATTCTTTTTCATCGAGAAAGCATCTTTCTTCTTTATCTGAGTAAAATAGAGGATTTTTCATTAATCCCAAAAGAGGTGTTGTTGATCTGGATTCGAAATTTATCTTTAATTCAAGTTGTTCTAATAAAGAAGGATGTTCAATTTGGTTTTCATGAAATCTGATGAAAAGGTAAAAACTGTGTTTTGTCTATATGATCCAAGATTTGAATTTGTTTCTACAAAGATGGTGATTCCAAATCGAGATTGGGTGTTACAACTGCTGATGGTGTCTCTTTTCACTGAAGTTTGGGGTTTATAGATTGTTGGTCTGAGATCACTAGTTTATAAATTGCTGGCCTGAGATCACGGAAATTAGAACATCAAGGATAGTTGGTTTCCAATCAGGTCACACAGTAATGATTCAGCTGGTATTCTCTTGTCTCTTTGCTTTTTCTCTCTTAATAATGAAAGAAAATTAGGGTCATTCGATGACTATGAGCTTTTCTGCAGATTTTTTGTCAAAAGAGAAAGAGAGAGATAAAGGGAGATCTTTTGGATGTGAGATCTACTTGCGAGGCTAGTTAAAAGAGGCTAGATGTTGAATGCATTGATCTTATTATCAGCATTGAATCGCTACTCGTGCTCCTATCAAAATTATAGTGAGTTTTCTTTCTCAATCCCACTTCATCCTATTGTTTTTTAATTTTCAATAGATTAGAGTTCCATGAGCATCACTTCTTTGGCTTTGGATTTGTTCTAACTAATAGAATCAAAGAATGATAGAAAGGAGACTTTAGACAATGTTTTACACTTGTGTCACTCTTTCTGAAATTGCTGGCTTATTCATTAAGAACCAATGTCTAGTGAAATAATCTTTAACTGACAGAATTTACGGCTTTCTCATCCATCCTCATCTACCATTTAGGCTTGCTTCTAAGCTCTAATTGGTGGTCTACTAGAGAAAATTGAGATATAATCATGTAAATAATTGAGTTTATGTGAAATTTTAGTGTCTCTTGACATGTATATGATTACATGCCCGTATTATTCATCTTGCAACTAATATGCAAAGCTTTGATTTGCTAAATTTTGTTTGCTGAGATTTTTGTTTGCTAAATAATTGCAATGTAATTGCTAGAATCACATTCAACAAGTTTCTGTGTAGAGGCAACTAATGGTAACATGTACTGTGTACTTTGACTGAGATTTTTGTTTGCTAAACTAGGAAGCTCATAATCCTTCACTCACTCTGTTTATCTAAAAATTTATCATTTCTTTTGAAAAAGAAACATGTGCCTAGGTTCAGGTTTATTAACGATATATTTCTATAGTTTACCTATATACATTCTGTTTGTTTCAGAGGTCAGACGAGGCTAAGATATGTGGGAAACTTTCTTCGGCAGGTTACCAAACGAATCCGAGAAATATTTGTGTAATGATGCGGTTTTTTTTAGTTTTTGATTTTATGTATTTGTACAACTTATGTATATTAAGACAACTGTAATATTTAGGTACAACTATGTATTTATTAAGTAAAATTAGAGGAACAACTGAGATCATTTTGGTATAATTATGTGTTTATTAGGTACAACCAGTTCTATTATTGGTTCAACTGAGTTTTATTAAGTTCAATTAGATTTTATGAAGTACAGCAGATGACACAAGTACCGAGGTACAACTGAAATACATGGTTTGACTGAGTGAGTTTTATGGTTTAACAGGGTTTTATTAAGTTTAACTAGATTTTATTAAGTACAACGAATGACACAAGTAAGGAGGTACAACTGAAATACATGGTTCGACTGAGTGAGTTTTATGGTTCAACTGGGTTTTATTAAGTTCCACTGGATTTTATTAAGTACAACGAATGACACAAATAAGGAGGTACAACTGAAAGACATGGTTCGACTGAGTGAGTTTTACAGTTCAACTGGGTTTTATTAAGTACAACGAATGACAAATTATGGCTTTTCATAATTGTTTAGTTTTTTTTAATAAATATTAAAGCATCGTCTCTCTCCTCTCCTCTCTGAGAATCATCTCTCTCGTCTCCTCTCTCAGAATCGTTTCTCTCCTCTCCTCTCTCAGAATTGTCTCTTCTCTCTCAATATCTCTCTCGGAATCCTCTCTCTCTCTCTCTCTCTCTCTCTCTCTCTCTCTCTCTCTCTCTCTCGAAGTCGACGAAACAATAAAATAAAATTAGGGTTTTGAAACATTTGGGAAAGTGGACATTTTGAAAATAAAATTAAAATATTATATATTCTTCCCGCTGGGCGGAAAACTGAAAATTTATTAAATTTTCCAAAATAAATTGAACTTAGTTGTCCCCATGCAAGCAGTTGAACCAAATTCCTAATAGTTGTTCTTTTGCAATTTTATTGTATTTCTAGTTGAACCTTCTCCTAAACAATTATGGTGTAGTTGTACAAATAATTTTGGACCATTAAATATCATTTACAACGTTTTCATTGTACAATGTATGAAGAATTTAACATTCTGATTTTTTTTCCCCTAAAAGGCTTAACAATATTGATATCTTTCTTATATTGTAAGGGGTGGTTGATGTGAAAACATGATTTTATATCAAAATAAAAAATTAATGTTCTCTATATTAGTAATTGTTTCCTTATAGTTGAAAATGTGTTTATAGGTCTTAATTTGTTGATTCACATCACTTGTAGCTTTAATAATTGTTTAGTTCACTTCTAAAGTTGATTTAGTTGTACCCAGTTGCACCCAATTGCACCTGCTGGTGCAATTTCAAAAAAGACACAAAATTATTAATAATTGTACCCAATTGCTTCGGGTGGTGCGATTTCGAGAAAGACAAATACATAAACGTTAATAGTTGTACCCAATTGAACTTAGAAGTGCGAATCAAAGAATGACAAACACATAATCGTTAATAGTTGTACCCCGTTGAACCTGGAAGTGCGAATTTGAGGAAGACAAACATGTAACTGTTCATACGTGTACCCAGTTGTACTTGGTAGTGCAAATCAGAGAATGACAAACACATAAATGTTAATAGTTGTACTCAGTTGAACCTAGAAGTGCGAATTCGACAAAATGAAACTCAGAATTGTTCATACTTGTACCTAGTTAAACCTAGTCATACAACTTCGCCAAACTGAAACACATATAGATTCATAGATGTACATAGTCTAACATGATTGTACAAAACCGAGAATTACAAAACACACACACACAAATTAAACTGCGCTGCATAACATATGCTATTAATCGTGGGGTGCTTTTCCTTCTACGAGAGCATATATGCATCTTTTTGTATACTCTTAACACTGAAATCATCCGATTTCTTAAACCTTGCAGCTCGCAAATATCATTTACAGCCTTGACTCTTCTGACGGAATTCTAAAATAAGTCACTTTATATCTGACTTATAAGTATGGACCCCAAAACAGTTTTTATGTGCAGCTCTGTCAACCATATCTTCCTGCATATCTTATCTACTAACACCGAGTAAGTTATCTCCTCCAATGATAAGTTCCTAAATGGTATAGCATAGGTGGAATTACTTGTAAACCATTTCAACTCCCCTTCATCATATGAATAACTCCCTTCATAGTCAAATGTATGTTTGTGTGGTTGATGCTCATGCTCTCCTGAAAATATAATGAAAGTAATCGATCAGTAATCACACAAAATACCACAGTTGTACCAGTTGAACTCAGTTGTACCACTTGAACCAGACCTCTCATTTGTACCAGTTGAACTTCAGTTTTCAGTTCTACCAGTTGAACTCAATATCTTAGTTGTACCATTTCACTCTCAGTTGTACCAGTTGTACCATTTCTCATATTATAAATCGAGGAATTTCGAGCTCGGGTTCTACATACGAACCTGATTCACATAACCACGTTCTTCTCACAAATTACCGAACCTAAAGCTTAATCGATCCATAATACATAGTTACTAACCCAGATCCCTAAATTTTCATATATAAATCCCTAATTTTACAAAATCTCAAAATATCTCTAATTAAAGAAAAATAACCAATCTTATAAATTGTACATTCAACAATGACATAGGAAGGAATGCAATTGCAGAAGAAGAAAAATAGTTGAAGAGGTGTGTAAAACTGGGTTTGTGTAAAAAGATGTTGATGGGAAGAGCTTCACATAAGAGAAAAGAGATCAGATGGAGAGATGGAGAGGATGAGGAGCGGGGTGAAATTTCAGTTTTTTTTTTCGTTTTTTTCATTTTTTTTTCAGATTTTAATTTTCTTTACTCTCAGTTATTTTATTTTTACTCATTTACCAATT